CAGTGTAGTTTTGAATCAGGAAATTCTCAGTCTGTTTCTCTAGACTGATTACTCATAACTGCACTGGTTCGTTTTGCGAATTAATCCAGGAAGGAAGGCGAAGCAGCTCATATTTGCTTTAATGACCAACCAGCAACCACAGGGATGGTGAAGAATAACTTGAGACAGTTCATGGCGTGTTTGCACAGTTGCCTAAGAGGATTGCTTCGAACACCAGATGTGCGGGGTTCGATTCCGTTCGAGGATAAGGAAATTTACCATACATTGCTTCAGGTTGGGATTGTTCAGTAGGATTGCTCAGTGATAGAGCGACTAATTCAGAATCGACAGGTTCTCAGGTCCCCCGTTCTTTATCCTTCTGAGGTTGATAAATGAGTACTACTCTGTGGGAAGAAAACAGGCGATTACGCGCTACGCTTGCCTCGTAGCTGTGAACTCTGCCTTAAAAACTAAGGCACTCTTGGCTGATGGCATGGAAACTGAGATCGGCACTCCAGCATGAACTCCATGAAAAGAAGGGCGCTAAAATGGCCCAATCATTAAAGTGATAAAATACCGACATTCCAACATTGATCAACCACTCGGGACAAGTGCTTCGAAAGACGAAAGACTCGGGTTTTCTTCTACTGAAAATAAAATATCGACATAGAAGCAGGAACGCTAGAGACACTCTCTGTAGCTACTGCCTCACTACCCGAAAAGATAAGCGGTCATCGAAACTGTCTGATTTATCAATGAATCTGAGAGCACTGTTGAATCCAAAATAGATCTAAAATGGTATTGAATTTTAAGAACACAAACTAAGTTGGGCTGATAAAGTAGATTAGCGAAGTTCCCTATCCCGATTTGTACAAGGAGCCTTGATTCATATTGGCTTTGGGGTTTGCTTTGGGAAAAATCATGAGAACAAGAAAATCTTACATGAACAGTATGTGGATAAGTAAAGTTACGACGAAAATCAAGTTGCTATAGAATTGAGTAATCATTATTATTATTGTGCGGTAGAAGTTCTTCCAAATGAACTCTTATTTGGAGTGAGTCTTATTCAGGGTGAGCTGTACGCCTAAATAGAAAGTGTTCTGCTTTTCTAGATGACTTCTTGCCAGATTATTCTGTTAACTTCATGCAACTAAACATCGTGAACTCTGCGTCATGTGAAAAAAGGCACGGGACCATCTATACACTTTGAATATTGAGTGACAAATGATACTAGTAATCAAACACCATGTCAGTCTTTCCAGAAGTGTTCAGCTATTAAGCTTTGTGTCAAAAACAGCATTCATAAATCGACATCATGATACACATGTCGCAAGTTCTTCTGAAGAATGAACGCATCATTTCATTCAAGCGATTAAACTATGTATATAAAAGAAAATACTTTCCTATCAAAGCCCTTTACAACATTTCGTTGACCAGCTGCTTCCAACTCTACAATCCTTCTTGGAGACCGAGACAACTAAACAGAATTTTTTCAGTCAACGACACATACTTTGGTCACTACCAAAATACTGGAATGCTTAGAAACTGTTAAATAACGAAAGTCAAACATAATTGCAATCATAAACGTGCGTGTGATTTCATAAGCAAAGTTTGAAAGATACTAAAAGGTACTGAGAAGGTTCCTTGATGCCGTAGAAAATTTTACTTGTTAGAATGCAGCAAGCATTAATATAGCTGTATAGCTTTAATTATAATTATAGAATTAATTTGAAATAATTGTATCGATTAATCATTTGATCATTTAATTATTAACTACTGGATAGCACTAGACGAAAGGGTCGTAGCTTGAAACCAAAATGTATGCGAGAAAGTAATACTTTTGGGAAAAAAATATTATTTGTTATGCCCGAGCATGCACGTCG